CCACAATGGCCACAGCCTGGGGTTGGGGAGGCAGGCTTTGATATTACATGGGTCACACAGAGAGTGTGGGCCTTTTAAACCGGTCGAAGATCCCGAGCTGCCACTCCCCTTCTGGGATTCTCGCCCTTCCCTTGCTCTTAATGAGCTAGCACAAGTTTTTATTTCTTGTTTGCGCAACTCCACCAAAAACGTAAGATTTTTACAACCCTCAAACCACTCAGGAACCTCCGAACAAGATTAGCTTTTCTTTTTTTTTTAGAAAACTAGCAAACTTTTGAGTTGTGAAAACTCAATCTGAGGTTCCCTGCCGCTCAAATTCCTGCCAAATCCAAAGAAACAAAACCGCCCTGAATAGCATCCTTTACTCCCCCTGACACTTAAAGAGGTCGCCCAGCTCCGAGATAACTGACTTTTTATGAGTCCTCCTCCATTGTGTCGCAATGGGGGTCACGAGTCCAATGGACTGCTTTATTGTTCCGCGGCAGTGTTTACAAGGCACGGCGGGTTGTTGTGGGGTTGGTAGTATGTCGCAGGAGACAATATGAAGTCTGTCGGCTGAACAAAATGGAGGACAGGTACTTTAGGCCTTGAAATATGACGCAGCGGCTTCGCCGTATCTATATTCAAAGTAAGAGCCGGGCACTATCTGAGGCATGGTTGGTTTAAATGTGTTTACTTTTGCTCTGATAGTGAAATGAAATGTTTGATACCCTTGGGATGTTTTTTTCCCTTTTAAACGAAACACCAAAGAGGTGCAGGTTGAGACAGGACGACTTGATGCAGGACAGATGTGAACTATCTGAACTTGATGGATTTTATGAATAAAAGCTGCCTAAACTGCATTTAACATCATATCCACAAGCTTTTTCTATCTCAGAAAAAGCTTGTTTCCATAAGAGAAATCAAGAAATGCGTCAGGATAAAAAAGTGTAAAGAAGGCATGATGGTGTTGCATGTTAAGTTACCAAACTTAGGAATCAAGTCTTAACCCAATGTGTACTCCAGCGAAGTCTCGCACTTGAATTTGAAGCCTTGAACTGAAGATTTATTTGCAGATTTCTCCAGTGAGAAGGAGTAAAGGAGAAAGGTTGTCTGAGAGTAGTAGCCTTGAGAGCCACCCATGAATCTAAAAGCTCTTTGTCGCAAGCTGATTTGTCTGAATTTACAATAATTAATGAATGGCTTTTAACAATAATAGGAAAAATACAATTCTGAAAATATTTATACAGATGTAATTTTTGTTCCAATCCGGCCCAACATTATTACTCTGAAGTGGACAGAGACTGCACATCACTGATAAATCTGCACATAGTTTTCCTACAAAATGTTGTTTGGCATTAAAAGCTAATACTACTCATATCAGAGCTGAAAGGAAGCTAAAACAAGCCACCTAAATCACATAATTAGGCAGCAGTAGTCGTTTTGTACAGACAAAACATTCAGAAAAAGAAAAAAATCAAACAAGAATGCACATATCTGACCTGATAAACTTTATGCTCACAAACAACCATGTTCTTTGCTAAGGTTGTTTAAGCTGTATATTTACCTTTTCATTTTCCATCGTGGTCTATATGAATCAATATTATTGGTGTCAAACATATTATTTGTTACATTACATAGAGACCTGTTCAATGAATTAGAATATTATTGAAAAGTTAATAATTATAATTTTCCACTTGTTAATAAAACACAACATTTAAAATTAGAATAGGACATTAAAAAAAAACATTTTTAACATAGAATATAGCCTTAGTGAAATGTATGTTTAGTACCTGCTGTAAGGTTTTCAATTTTCTGACAAATGAGCCTCATGAGAACTCTTATTCAAACATATTAAATATGACTGAATATTCTGGATTTGAACAATAATATGGCAAACTACACATACACCGTTGTTCACATCCTGTTCCAATTTCCAGCATCGTTCATTAGGAAATCAATGCCTCCCTCATTGCTCACCTTTCGTGTCAGTGTCTCTCCCTGCTTTCTTTTCTTTCTTTTTTTTTTATCTCAAAACCGGCTGTATATCAATACCTGCTGTCATGTCAGACCGACTTTGACTGGGTGCTGCAGCTGTCACACCCGGGTCAGGGACGGAGGGCGCTGTGGGGGAAGATGGGAGATCTGAGTGCAAACAGAGTCTGTCTCTGGATTGTCACCGAGGGAGGGGACGCTCTCCCTGTCCGTGTGAGGCTGAGACCACAGGATAAGAATGTGTTTGACATTGCTTGTAATTGTGTAATGTTTGCTCTGTTGGTATCAGGGGGTGGAGGGCTGGGGGACTGCATCAGCAAACAGGTATTAGATTGTCAGTTGTGTGTGTGTGTGGGTGCGTGCGTGTGCGTGTGTGTGTTGGGGGATGTAGAGGGGTTGGGTTAGCATTCTTTGAGAGACAGCTAGAAGTCCAGACTTTGGCTTTAGTGTTCGTATTACACATTGTTTCTTTGCAGCGTTGTAAATATGTGAATTCAGTTAATGGTGCAAGTTATCCTTATTTTAACTAATTTGTGAAACAAACTTTATTTTTGTTCTTCCATCTCGTATTAATAACCCCAGTAGCGATCATATTTAACTTCCATATACATTACCTTGCAAAGGTTTCCATAACCCGTGAACTAGGGCTGGACGATATGGCTGAAAACTTATCACGATATAATCATTTCATATCTGTTGATGCTAATAAATGTCAATATCAGTAATTATTGATTAGTTTTTGTTTTAAATATCTGAAATACTGCCAAACAGGGAACGTGACCTTTCCCGTTTAATCCAGTTTTCTTTCCACGCTGTGGTTTTTATTTTTAAGCAGCTGTGAGACACGGTGGAAAACCTCCTGCTGCTCAAGTTACTCAACAGGCTGTTGCTAGGTAACCAAAAAGTGAATGAGTTAGTTGATGTCACCGACGTTGATTAGCTAGCCGTGAGAGGTTGAGCAGCTAAAGCATTTCCTCTGCCTACATCACCCAGAATGCCGTGCGATTCTGGATCAGGGTTCAGTGACTATTCTACATACTGAATATTGATCACATGTCTATCGCGATATATATTGTTGTTGATTTATTGTCCAGCCCTACCTTGAACTGTTCTACATTTTGACACATTATAAATGTATTTTATGTGAAACCATCACAAAAACGTGTATAATTAAAATCTGGAAGGAGAATGATGCTTTCAACATGCCATGCATTTGTGTTCAACCTCCATGAGGCAAAACCTTGTTGAGCCACCTTTAATGCAAATTAGATTAAATCAGTTATATCAAGGCTTACCTCATATTCACAGCTAGATTTCGGGCTGCACTTTGACTAGGCCGTTCTAGCACATGAGTATGGTTTGATCTAAATATGCTTCTGGCAGGTCATTGTCCTGCCAGAAGGTGAACTCTGCCCCAGTCTCACATCTGGCCCACCGTAACCTTTTACGCAGCCCTTTAGACTCTAGAGAGCCGCATAAATAAAACCTTCGAGATAACAGTAGTGTTCTAAGATATTATTTTATCAGTCAAATCAGAGCAGCTTTTTATTGGTCTACTGCGTTCGTTATTATTTAATTAAAAAAAAAATGTTCAGCTTCACATCATAATGTTGTTCCCTCTTCAGAAGCATAATTCAGGTTCCGCTTCACGGAGCAACCCTTCACCCTTGCCTTAATTTGTGTTGCTCTAAATCCAAAGTAAATCAGATTTGTTTTACTGTTTGTTGTTGTATGAGAAAATGTGAAATACCTAGAAGGCTTGGGAATACTTAGCAACCTTTACACTGAATGTTAGCATTTCCTAAACCGCCGGTGAACCTTTGCACTGACGTAATGAAGCACATCATCATCAGCAGCAGCAGCGACTGTGTGCTAATCATGGAGTCTGCTGGAAGTTGTGGTCTTGTCAGTGCGTGCACACAGAGAATGGCCTTGGCTGAGCTGCACAGATAGCAGCAGTGGACAGGTCAGTCAGTGTGTGTGCGTGTGTGTATGTGTGTGTGTGTGTGTGTGTTTGTTTGCTTTGTCCTACCCAGTCTGAGTCAAAGAGCAACACAGTGTGGCTGCAGCTGTAACCCTCTTTCTTCCATCACGTGATCCACGCATCATGAGAGTAACCTGCAGGGAGCATGTAGCTGTGTTTCCATCAACCATAAAATTGCATAAATTAAAATTTTTAAAATAAATTTGCTTAACGGAAACACACCAATTAAAAATAAAAAACCTCGATAAGCTTTTGCACTAGGATGCCGTGGTTTTTCAGTCACATGGAAACACTTTTTTTTTTACATCACACGAGTCACATGATCAATTACTACTGGCAAAAACGACAAAGAAGACGACAGGAAGTAGGAGGATGGTTTGTTTTTGTTGAGGGTTTTTTCCGGACAATGTGCCGCTTGTTCCACCATGAAAAGTTGTGTGTCACTCAAATGACACACAACAAGATCCATAGCTCTTCTGTGACAATACAGCTTCTTAGCTCCTCTCAGGGTTGTTGTCACGCCAACACCTGAATGAGACACCGACGTCTCCTCTGAAAGACTAGGCTGAGTTATGAATATACCTCATGTAACTTTTTAGATCCATCACTGGCACAATTTTTATTGACTTAACACTCTCTGTAAAAACTTGAGATTTGTTGTGAATATTTTCTATTCTGCTTTTAAGTGTAAGCACTTAAAAGCAGAATAGGAAATATTCACAACATTAGTTGTTGCTGTAAATGTTAATGGAATGCTTGTGTCGTCCAGAACTGCCTGCTGGCTCCGATGATCTTTTTTTGTAACATCATTCTTATTGTTACGTGTTGCCTAGCATAGCACTGCTGCTCCTGCTCATTCACGTACTTGCTTTACATGGACAAACTTAATCACATTTGATTTTAATTCCATTTCTTATTTAATGGAAATATTGCAAATGAGAATTTTTTTTTTTTTTGACACTAGCAGAATATCGACAAAGATTACCACACATTTGTAATGGATTGTGTGTGTGTGTGTGTGTGTGTTTCTCTCTCCTGCCAGTGCGTTACAGCCAAGGCCCCGGCGAAGTCTCCTCCTCCACCGCCATCAGTCACCACAGCAGCAGCAGCCAGTCGGTGCTGCAGCAGGTGTCCCCGGGAGGACTGGACCACAGCCACAGCTTGCTGTCGCCCGACGCCAAGATGGTGAGTGAGCACACCTGGGCCCTCCCTTCGCAGCTGCAGATTAGATAAGGCATGGTGTGCGTTCAGCGGAAACCCTGAGTCCTGCTCTCCCATGGACCCTTTGCCAACAATTCTCACATTGTGCAGCTCAGTTTGAGCGGCAGCGTCCTAACAGGCAGCCTTCACCCGAGCAGACAGGCAAGCATGCTGGTCGCTCTGCCAACAAACCTCACAATGAAACGTTCTGTTCTTATTGATTAAACGCCTAGCAAAGAGAAGCCAAAGGTGGAGTAACGACAGCACCATTTGATTGTGGCCGATAATCTGCCGTTGTATGATTTTTTTTTTTGTAATAACATGCATTAAAAACATCTCTAATTTTATTATATCTTGTTCATGAGGAGGCAAGCTTTGTAATAACCTTTCACAGTGGTCTTGACTAACAAGTTGTTCAGGATTTCTGAAGAGCTTCCAGACTTTTCCTTTGGACTTTAGTAGCTTTTTCACTTATTTAGATCCAGTCCTTCCATATGACAGCGTTTTGTGTAGTGTGTGCTTGAAAAAAAAACTGACCCAGAAAACGAGAAGGAATTTTTCAGATGAAGACTAATATCTACAGGCAGATATCCATAGGGTAGATGTAGGTGTGCTGTGATTCAAAATCATAAAGGAGTTCAACTCAGAGTCCACAGCAAAAATTCCCAAGGGAGAAAATAAAGAATATTCTATTCTATTCTATTCTATTCTATTCTATTCTATTCTATTCTATTCTATTCTATTCTATTCATGATGACTCTGAGCAAAATGTAATATTTTTTTTTGTATTTGGTGGCAATGCTAACTGACCTTAGCATCCACTGAAGGCTCCACTGTATGGAAGGAGCTGTAGCGTAGCAGAGAGAAAGAGAGCAAGCGTGAACAGCATGTACATGAGATTGATTGACAGCACTAAGCTCCTCCTCTTGGCTCTGATTGGATGTTTCTGACCAGGAGTGGTGTACTTCTGCAGATGTTAGTGGGACCACATTGAGCTAAATTTTTTTTAGTTTTTTTACCGATGATCTCTCATGTTATACCGTCAGAACAGTGACAGTTTTAACAAATATGTAGAAAATTTATTGATTATAAAAGTTAATGCAACATTAAGAAAGATGGAAGATCTGAGGTAAAATCCAAGACACCCATCATCCTACACTTTATCGTTTTCAAAACTTCAGTCTTTGGGAACAACTTTGCTCCTAGAATACTATAGCTTAAAGTCTGAAACAGTTTGTGTGCTCTTCAGAAATCAGTCTAAAAGGGAGTAAAAAGGGAGTAAATTGTGTCTTATTGAGACGCCTGGAGTTCAGCTTAAAACCGATAACTGTGTAAGTGGAGACATTTCTTCATTTCTTGAGATTTGGAGCCACTTCTTGCCGGAATGATTCATGGATCGATGTCAGGCAGCAAACAAATAATCGGACCCAGAAAAACAAAGCAAACCCCTCCCCCCCCCAAAAAAAACATTCCTCTGTCACTTTCAGATATCGAGTGAAAAAGCTGAAAAAGTCCAATCCATCAGACCCAAATAAGTCTATTTCAGACTTTAAGTTGTTGGCCTGTGTTTGAGCTGACCTAACTTCCCTGTTAGGAAGGACACTTCCACCTTTCCGACTCGATTTCTGTGAAACGAGTGCCAACATTGTGTTGTGAAGATCTGTCAGTTTTTTTTTTCTCTCTCTTTTTTTTTGTCCCCTTGTGGTTGTGAAATGAGCCATATTCAAATGAATGAAACCCCAGTTCAGAGGAGGATCCAGTAAACCCACTGAACCGTTTGCTCTCATATCTGTTTCTTTAAATTTTTTCTTTTTTGTTTACGACGTCCTCTCGCGTGTCACATTTGAGCGGTTTACACGAGAGAAATGTTGGACAAAAGAATCCAAACTGAGTCAACATTCTGAACCCACTGTTTGGTCAGCAGGCAACATCTGGCTCGCTTTGAACATAGATTTACACAGGAAGACACTCAGCCTCTCGTCACTGAGTGCCGCGTTCAGCTGAGAGTAAATAATGCAGCAGTAAAAGCTTGATTTCATTTCCCTCATCTCCCTTCCGCAGATTTCAGGCTCAGGCGGAGGACTTCCTCCGGTCAGCACGCTGACCAACATCCACAGTTCCCACCACAGCCACCAGCAGCCGCAAAACCTCCTAATGCCTCTGAGTGGAGTGATGGCGATAGCGCAGAGTAAGTCTCGCAGGAAACGAGCCGTGCGTCCGGAAATGGACTACCGGGTCTAACATGAGGTGTTTTCGGTCAGGTTTGAGCACGTCGCAGGCCCAGACGGTGCCGGTGATCAACAGTGTGGCGGGGAGCCTGGCCGCTCTCCAGCCGGTGCAGTTCTCCCAGCAGCTCCACAGCCCCCACCAGCCCAGCCTGATGCAGCAGTCGCCCAGCCACATGAGCCAGCAGCCTTTCATGGCCACCGTCACACACTCTCACAGTCAGTAACTCTGCTCTCCTCATGTCTACCTGTTAAATCATCCATGCTAATTCACTGTTTTTTGGGGGGGCGTTTTTTACGGCAGGTGACTACTAGCAGGTGATTATTAGCTTGTGTTGAGTTGTTTGAAATTCAAAGCAGAACCCATGAAGGCAAAACTGTATCAATGGTGACCTCCACTCCGGGTTTTATAGTTCATAAAGTTATAGCTTCTCCTTTTCACTCCAGGTTGCTACGGCGGTGCATAAGATGGTAGATAGAAAAAAGAAATTAAAGTAGAGGAGTAAATTTCCACCCAAAAAAACCCCCCTAACTTAAAAATGTTCTTGAACAAACAAGGAACATTTTTTTACTTTACAAACAAGGAATTGTTTTGTAACAATGTGTTACAAAACAATTCAGATAATCGACTTTCTGAAATGTTCTAATTTAGAAAGTCGGAAATATTTCTAGTGCTGGCAATCATGAGGATGATTGACCCCTCCCCCTAGCTCTGATTGGCTGTTTCTGAAAGAGCATTGTATTTGTTCAGATGACATCAGGACCAGAAGGAGGATGACAGAGAAGCTCAAGTTTTTCACAGATGATCTATATGTTGACATTTATTCTGTCACAACATAATTTTAACAAATATGTAAAAACATATAAAAGTTGCATACTGCTGCTTTGTCAAGAACAATTGAAACAAACAAACTGAAAAGGGGAAAGCATCTGTACATTCAGGCCCATTTTTATTGTGTAAAACTGTGGTGTAAGGAGCCAAATATGGCACCAGAGCCACAGATTGAAGACCCCTGGATGGTTTGACACTGATGCTGAATATATTAAAGGGGTAGTTAAGATTTTTTAGGGCCAAAAATGTACTTTTCTCAACAGCTAATATCTTTTTCATTAAGGTCAAGGACGCTAAGAGATTTTGATAACACTTTGATTGGTAATAACCTCTGAGCAGAACCCCAAAATAAAAAGAAAGATCTTACGAGACCATATATTTAAAAACAAATCCTACAAATTACATAGTTCTGGTATGTCTCTGTCAAAGAAAATGTAAATATTTCTGCAAATAGAAGCTGGATTTCACACATTTCATGTATTAAAACTTGACATTTTCTTCTTTCTTTTTTTTCTCTTTGCAGTGTATTCGCACAAACAAGAGCCCCCGCAGTACTCTCACCCGTCCCGTTTTCCCTCATCCATGGTCACAGACGCCAACAGCATCAGCACCCTCAGCTCCATGTCCTCCAGCAAGACGGTTAGTCCTCTCCTATGTCCCCCCCAAACCTCCCATCACGCCTCTCAGACCGCAGTTAGATCCCCTCTGACCTCTCTCTGATTCTCATTCTGATTGCATTAGAATCAGAGCTAAATTTGCTGCATATTCCTTTTAAAAAGAAATCATCCTTAAATACACCCCGCAGCAGGAAGTAGACACAACCAGGTAGAAAGAGAGAGAGAGAGAGACTGTGTGTGTGTTTTGTGTGTGTGTGTCATGATTTTCTGTTGACTTGTTTAATTCCTTGTCGTGTTAGGACGCTCCTGTAAACAAGATGGTGCAACTCGGGGGTATCTCCTGGGTAAATACTTTACTTTATCAGCTCAGCTTTAATGAGTGAAATCCAACTCAAAGCCAATCACCTTTTAGCCCAGGGTGTGTAGCCGTGCACACTAACCCTTTCTGCTTCCTGTTCGGGGCTGATGCTCAGACAGTCCCAGACCAGACAGACTAGATGGATGAATGGGCGGGACACTCTCATCACCATTCCCGTTTCCTCTCAAACTGCTGTCCAATCAGTCTCTGCCTCTCCTCCACTTTCATCTTCTCCGCTGCTGCCGTCAGGAAATGAAGAGCTGTTAATCACGGCTCTGCTCTCCTGCGTGCTTACAGTGCGGCTGCAGGTGAAATGAAGTGAGTGGAGGAGGGCAGCGGTGAAGTTTTTCTTCTTCTTCTTGTTCCTTTTGGTAATTACGCCGCTTCCTCTTTCCTACTTCTCCCTGCTCTCTTGTGATCGCTCTAGCCTGAAATGTTGTCCACGGTGTGTTAACATGCTCAATTTCCCACGCTGAAGCAGAACGCTTGCTAAGAACAGTAGACAGAGACAAGAACGTTTAGTTAAAATAAAATTACCCAAAATGCAATTTAACTTATTTTTTTTTATGTTGGGAATAAAAAACCCACATACACTGAAAAAAAGAAAATAGAGCTCCAAATTAAAAACATGGTGCTGATTTGTGACAATTAATTGAATGAATTTTGATTCTTACGTTTGTTTAACTTGACAACTTAATAAATGAACTTAGATAAACTTAATTTGATTACTTATGACCAAGTAACACAATGTATTTAAGTTGGGTCACCTGTTCTCTTCTTGTAGTATGCCTGAAGTCTTGTAATTTGCCTATAGTGTTATTCTGCTGTTTTATTGAAATCTCCAAAATCACAAATTTCAAATATGTCATTAGACTTTTAAAATGTTAAGTTTAACACTGTACATTGTTATCAGAAATACCCTCAAACCTCAAACTGTGACACCGTACTTTCAAAAATCACATAAAAAAATTATAAAACTATTTAAAAAATGCCTTTGATACACACTGTAAAAAACATTGGGAAAAAAAACCATTACAAACAATTAGTAAGTACAACTTATGCAGAAGAGTACAGTACTGTTGTCTTGTATTGTACTGAATTATTGTCATACATTTATTATAAAATAGTGCAATGTTGTATTACGTTGTACTGTACTTTTTTGTATTGTATGTTGAGTGTACTGCACTGGAAAGCTCTGACATACTGAACTGTATTATATTCTATTATACAGTACTGTGCAGTACTGTATTGTAAAATATAACGTTTTGTGTAGTGTTTATATTGCAATAAGCAATATAATACGTATATGTTATAATACGATAAAATATTATGCTTTTCTGTTATATGGTATTATAGGTTACAGGATAGTACTATACTATGTTATATTGAAACATAGAAATGATACAAATAGTATAAAGATGTATCTAAAAGTAAACTAATTAAATAACTAACAAGTACCTCAAACTAATTAAAACATTTGTTATATAATAAAAATTCTATTATATTTAAATTTGTAAATTAAAAAATGACCCTTTGAGTTTTAGATTTTCATGCTTTATTCAGTAATTAAAAAATATATATATATATATATAAACATTTTCAGACAGCAGATAAAAGACACAAATGCAGAAATATGTAAATATTTACAATTTTTAACTTACTTCTACGTAAGAAGATCATTTTGGCACTTTTTTTTAGCGAACTAGAACCAAAAAGACCATTTAAAAAAAAGAGCTTCAGAAATCTTTGCTTCCTGCTTATTCAGCATTATTGCGTGTTATTTATTGAACAATCACCAGAAAAGGGATTTTCTTATCAGGAAGTGATTTGGGCCGAACCTCCTCTTCATTAAACGAGCCGGGCTTTATAGCACCCAGTATTTACCCGCAGCCCTCCGCTCAGAGCGCGCGCCGCGTCTAATGACTCAGGTGTTGGCTGCAGGTCAGCTTTTATCAGGTGAGGCTGTTTGCCGGCTGCGGGGTCATGTCGGGGTCAGCCGTCTCCATGGAGAGGCAGGTGAAAAATAAATCCCTCAAACAGTCCTGAAGGGGGAGAGAGAGTGGAAACAGGCTTTTCAGAGCCAAGGGGAAGAGGAATGGGGAATGTATTTGGTCAGGTGTGGCAGGCCGAAGTGGGAGGGCTGTTTAAGGTAAAAGCAGGAAAACTCGACGGCGTGTCAGAATTATGACTTTTTCCAATAATGAAAAACATGATGAAAAATGAAAAACTTGCTCATGAATGAGCGCAAGAAAAAACTGTTTGACAGTTTATCAAACAGATTTTTAATGAGTAAAGCTAACTTTTTTGGTTGATGTTTATGTAAATGTCGCCTTCAGCACTTATCTCTTTCACTCCATCCTCTACAAGTTTAACATAATAAAAATAATATGGTCAAGTTTTTAGCTAAATAAACTGAAATATGAATCCTCTTGAAATCAATTTTAAAACGCTTTGTTTGGCTAAAATAGACTGGATGATGCCATGAAACGATGAGCAACACATGTTCCCTGCTTATGCTTAAGATTCAATTAGAAAACTGATGCTAACTGTCAATGAAGAAAAAGTGCATCATCAAATAAATTATGATTTTCCCTTTTCTTCCATCTTTCTCCCTTTTTATAGTGGCAAGATCAACTTTGGTCCTCATTTAGTCGTAATTCTCACTCTTACGATTGTTCTTAATGTACTGGCTTTGTACATTATCAAGTTTAATTGATCAGCACTTTTGCTGATCCACAACTTAAATGGCATGATCTCTTGTTTTTCTATTTTGAAGAGTTAGACCAAGAGTAATGGGCCATATTTATAGGTGGATAAATAAATATAATAGTGTCACATCATATTTATGCGTCAGCTGAACAGGAAGCATAGAGGGAATAAAATTACAGGGGATTTTATGAAAACATTTGCCCTTAATGCATTTTTTGTCCAAAATAAACATGTTTGAGTTTATGTTGCTTAAATTAAAGTTGGCTTTATTTTTAAAGGGCTTTTTGTACACTTTTATCAGGTGTGCAAATACATGTAGAGGATGCTGTTTGTTCCAGCTTTTAACTCTTAATGCCAAATATATTTGAAACATGATATAAATTCAGTCATATTTTACAGAAATTAAAAGAGCTACAGAGGACATAAACAATTGAAGAGAATAATTATCCTTTACTTCCCTCTTATGCAATTAACTGCAATATTATTATTATTATTATTGAGAATAAGATGATGCATCTTGTAAAACTTCAAGGAATCAAATAACTTTATTGTTATACCAGCTCAGATTTATGTTTATGGTATGAAATTCAGACTCAGGTCCCAGTTTAAGAAGCCTAATAAATAACTGAATTAATCATTCACCATCCTCATCATCATCATCATTATTGTCATCAACTTTATTTATAAAACACTTTTTAAACACCAGACATAACTGAAACAATGTGCTGAACATCAGAGATAAATAAGATAAAATAAAACATAAAAATAAAGGAACAAAGCTGTAATAAATTAAAAACTAAGTTCAAGACACAATAAAACAACACAGTTAAATAAACAAGATCAATACCAATAAAAGTTAAGTAAATATAAAGTGAAATGAAGCTCAAATTGGCTTTGCTAAATGCTACAAAAGCAAAACATAGTCCATAATATTGAACCAACAAATAAATAAATAAATAAAATGTTAAATATCAAATAAAAGTTGAACCACTTATAATAGAAAATAACTGAATAATAATCATCCTCATGTTTCTCACTATGTTTGCTGCCATCTTGTGGACATGTGTGGATGCGGCAGAATGAGAAGTGCAGCTGAAACTCATTATTTCTGCCTTATTTAGTTATTATTTTTCCACTCTATTTAGGCTGTACTTTTAAATTGTAGGTTATAATTGAGCTGATTTTATTTGACCGTTTGCTTGTTTGTGAAGCTGGAAATAAAGGAGTGAAGTGACCTCGTGAAGACCATAGTAAACTTTGACAACAAAACTGATTGCCTACTATGGAATATACCCAGAATGCATCTGTGTTTTATGTAACGCAGGTTTTTACTTTGCCTGACTTCTCTCTGCTTTTCTTTCCCAGTGTCCTCTTCCAGCTTGGTGAGAGCGTCCAACCGACTTCCCTGCTGCCCGGCAACCGGAGCGCATTTTTCCACCTTCTCGCCGAGGTTAGCATGACAACTGCTAATGGCCCACAGGCGCGTGCGCTGGACAACAAGCTGGTCAACAAACATGGAGGGGAGGGGGAGGGGGAAGGGGGACCGAGTCTGCTGCGCATGAATGATCAACAAGGATGTTTATGATTCAAACTCAAATCTTAGAAAACAGTATTTGGTTTAAAGAAAAAAAAAATGTCATCCCAAGTTGTCACGTAAAGGAACAAAAGCACCAGAATGAACTATTTTGAGGACCTTAATGGAGGGATTTGGGGTGACTTCAAGACATTAACGACAGAGAGGACAAGGGGGACACCTTGTCTGCACGTGTGACAATCACAATGACCACTATTGATCTTGTGCATACATTTCTTACTGTTTTTTTTTTTAAAGGAGTCTTCCATGTTTTTATCTGTCCATATTCAGTTTACTGTACTGCAAATGACCGCTTGAAGTCGTTCCTTGTGTATACTGTGATTTGAAAAGACTTTGACAATCTCAAAAGGACTATGCAATGCTTTGTATAACTGGATTCTGCACAAAACTCCACACACTTGAGGCTGGAAAAGGAATATGCACTATACAGCTGTTGTAAACTGTTGACAAAATAACAAAACAAAAAAAAAAAGTAGATTTGTAATGAATACGCCAAACTGATTTAGGTTTTTTTTTTTTTTTTTTTTTTTTTTTTTGAGGGAACTGATTCTTTCACTTTGAACGTGGGCCGCAGCGCTTTGCTTTCCACGGAAACCTCCGGCTCTTATTTGCTCCCAGGCTCAGGTGAATTTAAGGAATGGGACTCACCCCTCCACTCGGATGTTATCTCCTCCCCCACTTCCTGCTAGCAATGTAAAACAGGACAAATATTGTTAATAACTCCTCGTCATGAATCACGGCTCACCGTCAAATAGCCCTCCCCCTCCCACCGGGAAAGAATGAAAACATCGACAGGTATTCATAAACATGAAAGAGTGGCGGTGTTGTGACAGCCGCGGCGTAAAGATCGCGCAGGAATGCGGGGAATCTGCGAGGCGCGCGCAAATAACGCCTACAGTGACAGTATTAAGGCGTGTTCAACGTTCATATCCAGACCAAAATTTATAAAGTTTCCCTTTTGGGACAACTCGACCCGTCGCACGTGGACCCACCCAGTCTCCAGCTCATATTATTAGGTCATCATGTAGTCGTTTTATGTGACTGTTATCGGCATACAAGACATGATTCCTCTTTCTCTCTGTCTGTGTCTCTCTCTCTCTCTTTCTCCTTTTATTGTATTATTTTTGTACAAAATTGAAATCAATCGTAAATCATTATTTATACTTACTGAGAAAATATTGGTATTTGAAGTAAAAAGTTTTTTTTCTAAAAATAATACATGTGTGGTTATTGTTTTGCATGTTTAGTGAGCATATTTTATGTTTATTGGTGTGTGATTAAATGTCTTTGATCATAATAATTTTTTTTTATATTTGTCAAAAAAAAAAAAAAAAAAAAAGCAAAAGATCAGTATTGTCCAAACTTTTTTCTAAACTACTAGCAGGCCGCAAAATTAATTTATTTAAAAAGTCAAATTAGATTTTTTGTGACTTTTTTGTTTTATATTTACTTGTATCATAATAACAGTTTTAGAAAATCGATCAAGCCTTAAAGAGGCTTTGGACTGCTGCCTCATTAAAAGAAAAGCAGACAATTTCAGATTTTGGAGGTTATTACTTTTCTTTTTCGTTGGCCAAATTTTTACCGTTCAAAATCATTTCAAGGGCCTCAAATGGCCCCTGAACCCCAGTTTGAACACCCATGTTTCTCAAACATGCATGAAAGAATAAAGTCAACACTACATGTATATCTATAATCAGGGAGTAACTTTATAACATGATTATAAATTTTAAAAAGTTGATTTTAGATTATACAACTCCTTTAACAAATATGTAAAAAATTTATATTTTTTTTATAAAGATGACCTATTTTTAGGTAAATTGGGGATTTAAGCTGCATTTGTCTTATTGATTTATTGTTATAATTCAGACATTTTTTGTTGTCAGTTCCTTATGTGTGATTATTGTTTTTGCATGTTTAGTGATCACTACAGTAACCTACTGAATCAGTTCTCGCGTGTAAAAACTACAGAAACCTGAATCGTTTTAACACTCATTTCTGCTTTACTTTAAGTGAAATATTTTATGCATAGAGTCATCTGTTTTCAGATCCTGCAGTGTTGTGATTTATACGACCCACATTTGGTGGAGCTGCAGCCCGCAGCATGGCTCCCCACTGACGAAAGCCTTGTAATCCTCTGACGTTGCTCCATTTGCTTTTCAATGAGGCCTTTGATTTCGAGTCCCGGGAAGCCAGTAAAGTTCTGACTCTGGCCTTTTTATTTAGACTCTTTCATTTCAAGGGACACCAAAATACAAGAGGGTTTGTTTGCATCTCTTAAGTTTCTAAACACTCCATCTGATCCATCATTAAGGCCTGAATACAAACTTAATTCATTAGCAGGCTGGATGTTAGACATGCATACGAGGCTATTTTGGCTGCTGTTTTTACGTGTTTAACAATTAGCAATAATATGTTTTTTTGCACTTATTTGGGTTTGCTCTCCAGAGACATTGCTTCTTTTACTGAATGATGCGGTATGAGGCTTTCATTTTCCCCTTAAACCATATATCTATAATAATCACAACAAACAGAATGATACTTTTTTTTACAGCAAGAACAAAAGTTAACATTTTGATAAATCCAAAAATTGCTAATGGATGTGACTTTGGTCAATTGTGTTGTTTTAAATAAAGGAGTGATAGAGCATAACAAGTAACTTTAGATCAATTTAAATCCTAATAGTGACTGTCAAAGTTTTAATAGTAATGAGTTAATCAAAAGTGTATGCATCACATTCATCATGAATGCTGGTAAATCATCATTTTAAAAGAGATTTCACTTATTAAAGTATCTTAAAGCACAAAGAATCTGAAGAGTTTATTCAATGCACATAAAGCAAACAAACTATATTCTAAGCTGTATATATAAACAACAATTCCATACTGACAATTAATCTAATGCTTGTTGGATTAATTTGTATCAGATTTTTGACTGTCTGCTTTATGGAAGAAGTTTTAACGAGCATAACAAACATGCTGTTTGCGCTCATTCGCTGTGTAAAAATGTGAGTAAAACAGTGGCAACATATGTTTGTTGATCATGTGACTCGTGTTTCCATTGCAGTTTAGTGAAATTAACTAATTTCATTGCTGCCAAAAATACCCAAACCTCAAGCTCGCACCAAAACATTTTTTCAAAAAATTAAGAGTTTTTTCAAAATTGCCTGGTTTCCACTAAGCAAGTTTATTCAAATTGCACAATACTATGGTCAATGGAAACATCTACAGGTACACTCTAAATCAGATGTTTAAATACACTCAATGTGAGCAAGCATTTCCACGCCATCTGGGACTTTTAAGCCATTATTTAATCTATGCTGTTTACAACATGGAATAATTAAAAAATATTCATCTGATTATCTTAAAAGAGGATGTGGGGTATGGTGTAAAATCAACTTTGTTGAGCTTTATGCCATTTTATGAACATGAAAACATCACTCTTGTGTATGTTTGAGAAAACCTTTAATCTCCCCTGGGAACCATTCTAGAGTTCCTAAATGCTTGTTCTCACAAAGCCCCACCTACTTCCACAAAGCTCCGCCCATTTCTACAAAGTTTCTCCTTAAAGCTGCAGTCTCTACACCTGTCTCCAATAATTTAATCTCCTCCTGAGGATTTAAGGAGCAGTTAGATGACCTCTCTTTGACGCTTTGCCTCAGGCGTTCGGGGTGGAGTCAAGTCACAGCTATACCTCTTTCAGTAATTTTCCTCATCATTGTTGAACGCTGGTTTATGCTTCCTGTTGTCCCGTTCCACTTTACTCCTTGCGGTTTTTTAGTGTTGAAGACGCCTTGTTGGTTCCTACATCAACCCTTCCTCCTCTACTTGTCAGATCTCCTCCGGACGCCCAGCCCCTCCATGGCCATCTGCCACAGCTGCGTCATCCTCGTTTATCACATAACGCTCTCTGTTCAACTCCATTAAGATATCCCAAACCATCTACAGAGCTCCTATTTGAAATCCAAACTTTCCAGGATGTGGAATTGCCCAGACGGGACATAAACAGATGTTTTTTGCACCTTGACAGACTTAACAGGCACAAACAATAGGTATTTTACATGTTGTTGACATTCAATTAACACGTACTTTACGTGTGGTTTAATGACAAGCAAAATTTTTGACGGATAATTGAAATGTTTACATCACATAGTTTATGCGTTGTTGAGATGCCGCTAACACGTACTTTACACTTTTTTTATGCGTTAAATACGCATGACATTTTTACGGATGTTCAACATGAAAACATCATGTACTTTACACGTTGTTTGCGTATTGTCTGCTCGTCAAAGTCACGTGAAAATAACGTGAAATACCTGAACATGTATGACCCCGGAGGCTTTCCATATTGCAGTGCCACCAATTGGCCTTGCATAACATCTACATCACTTTCAGTGGTACTGTGTCGACGCACATTTTTCTTAACCATTTACAAAAATATACTATATACAGGAGAATAGCTTGATTTCCATAGCAACATTTAAAATTGAGTTATTTTAGCAAAACCTACACAATCCTCAAATTAAAGACAGTTTTTCTAGTTCAGTGAAAATTTCCATATTTCTTAGTGTTTCATAAGGAACAAACTTTTACTAAAGGGAACTGAAAATGTTGCAGCTTATTTCAAAATCAAACAAATTCAATGCAGATATTAATTGTTGCAGACTCCCTATATGAGAGGATCAAGCATTTGACTGCTAAGCTGGAAGCCAGCTAGCTGATTCAGTTTGTCCAAGACTCCGGAGGTCAACACGAGAACCGAGGAGACACCTGGGAAACAGAGGGATGGGGGACAAAGGGACAGAAAGTGGAAACTGCAGGCTGAATGTAGCTGTGTGTTTAGCAGCACCAGAAGAAAGGATGCTACATCAACTCCAGCTGAGCCCCAAAGGGTTAATAGATAGGACTGCCCAGCGGGGGTCAGGGGTCGAGAGGCCGCTCTAATTGGTCACTGTGACAGGAGTTTACGCCAACCTCTCTCCGCAGAGAAACGCATACACATGTATGGAGCTGCAGTCCTCCATCAAGAAGGACTCTGTTGTGTTCCTGCAGCAGTCGGGGAATCAGTCAGCCACCTCCGCCGTACATCCACTGCAGAACCACCTACAGAGACAGCTGGGTGGCTTCTGAGCTATACTATTCATCAGCTAGAAAAGATGAATAGTAGTGAGGATGATACTCACGGGGTTGTGTAAAAGCATTTGCCTCCTTACAGATTTCCTTGTTTTTGCTCTTTTTTAAATACATATTTATTATTATCTATCTGACTAATTTTTAACCTGGACAAAGATTCCCTGAGTAAATGCAAAAAGCAATTTTCAGAAACGATCTGGTCTGATGTGCAACTGGAATTAACCTACAACACTAATCACTGGTAGCGTCCTTCATCAATTGCCATCAAGTATTTATGATAACCGGCAATAAGTGTGTGTAGCATTTATAAAGAAAATGTTTTTTTACATATTTGTTAAAACCATCACTATGTCTTGAC